CAGGTGGATGCTGGAAAACGCTCTTGGCTACATTGGTTGGTTTGTTGACAACATTCGCAATGAAAAAGTGACCAACTCTCCTATAAGTCAAAACAAAGCTGCCTTAAAGAAGTATGTGGAATCTTTTCAAGAGGGTCGTGATGTTGTGGCCCTGAAGAGAAAGCAGAGGGAGGATAAAGAGGCCAAAAAGCAACACAATTCCCCACAACCAAGCCAAAACTCTGCATCAAAACAAGTTGTCTCCCCCCTGGCAGCTGGTCTGGCATCTGGGCACATAAGCACCGAGAAATATTTGTCCCGGGTTGCATCAACCACAGGTGTTGAAAAGTTCAAACCTACCATCCCTGTATCAGTGAGAAAAAGAAAACCAAAGACACCTTCTGCCACTGTGACATCTACATCAATTACTAAAGATGTAGATGATGAGGAGCTTTGTGCCTTTGCTGACCAAGTAGAGGAGAATTTAGGTAATATTTCAAATTTTAGGTATTACTAACTGTTTCTGTTTGAAGAAGTGTTCTGAAATAATGTTCTGCATTTTCATTGTAGTCCAACCAACCAGTGAGCCAAATATAAGTCAGCAGCCTACACCAGATGCATCTCAATCAATACAAGCACCTGAACTAGAAGAGCCTGTGCCACTAGTACCAGAAGTAATTGAAATGCCTGAGGCTCAGCCAGAGCAAGTACTAACAGCTTCAGTAGCCCTCCCCAGCAGTGTTAGGAATGAAGGTACAAGTTTTTGTATCAAATGTTATTAATATTTCACTCTTTTAATAATGAAAGTATGTTATTCTTTAGAACATCCCCTACTCCCAGATGGATGGCTTAAGACATTACCTAAAGCTGACCACCTGTGGGTGTCTCAGGCCTTATTTACAACGAACAATAAGGGAAAAGCAAAGTTGGACTTTAGCAGGTGAACCGACTTATTGATTGTTATTTTTTCAATGCAATAAATGTTAGAGAACAATTTAAGAACTCTTTATCATTAGCCATTACAATATTACTGTACATATGAAAATATATATTTTTTAATTATATGTGACTATTTATTTCTTTTATTATTATTATTTCTTACTATTCTTTACTACTTTTTGTTATTGTATATTGATATACTTTATGTTATATACAAGCTTACTATTACAGTCTTTTCTAACTACAGTGTATTTACTCTTCTTTAGGGTCAACAAGTTATGGTGGGATCCCCCTCAGCCATCTCTTATAAGCACACAACCACCTCGACTTGACAGATACTTTGCACAACGGCTGCTACTTTGGATGCCACGCAAGCTTTGGAAAGTCACTCTGTATTGCCCACACGAAGGCTGCGACAGGAAACTACTCACCAGTGCTGGGATATACAGTACTGTGAGGCAAGTTATAGACATTGACAGCAACTATAACCTTGCTGCGGAGTACTTAGAGTGTAGGCATTGCAAGAGAAAGGTTATCAGCTGGAGCCCTGAGATTATAAAACAACTGGATACTGGCCATCAACTTCAGTTCCCAGTTTTGTTAACCTACCAGTATGCTTGTGATGTCCGAGTTATCAGACTGTTGAGGAACAGGGGCCTTGGCAACAGCTCAACGCAATTACAAAAGAAGCTTACTGAAGAGCACAGTGAAAAGTGGCTCCAAAAATCAGCCCAGTACCTGACTGACTGCAAATACTTTGCCAATGCATTCAAAAGTGGGCTCACTGGTCCCCTTAACTTTCAAGAGCCTCCAGAATTTGTACCAGTGCCAAAGTACAGGTGGCTGCTCACAGTGTATGCCCTAGACATCATGGCCAGAATGGACTATGTTAAAGCATCCATCACCTCTGTCTAAGGAAGAATATTGAAAATGGACTCTAATTAGAAAATTGTGAGAAAACTTGCAGGAGGTAGTGCTGGTACTGCTTCCTGGGCCACTAATGTTGGAAATGAAATTGGACAAGTGCTCATGTCAGTGATGACTGTCAATGAAGGAACTGGGTTGGAAAACATGGCAAATGGACTAATGAGAAGATATTCTTTAGCTGGTGTCTCACCTCCCGAGGTCCTTTATGTTGACAGAGATTGTTGTTCCACTGGCAAGGCTAAGAAGCTATTCTCACTCTGGGACAATTTAGTGATCCGCCTTGATATTTGGCACTTTATGAGAAGAATTTCTGCTGGATGTAACACAGAGGCCCATCCACTCTATAGTGTGTTTGTCGGTCGTCTATCACAATGCATCTTCCAATGGAGCAAAGAAGATCTTGATTTATTGAAGTCTGCCAAAAGAGGTGAATTGCAGATTCAAGGTGTTGCTGACCCTTCTGATGCAGCCATTAATGAAAAGATTACACGGAGAGAATTGGCTCTACATTGCCGTAGGAGAACTCGGGGAATTGTTGACACTACGACAATGATTTATGATCTATTACTGACATTTACTGGTCCCCAGGGATGTGATACTACTGGAGTACCTTTGCTTGACAAGACCCGCGTATGGGAAATATGGGACAACCAAAAGAACCACATTCCATGCATCCAGGACCCTGAGGGGGTGCAACTGTATACAAAAACCGGGGTCTTGACTAAAGGTGGTGTCCAACTTCCAACTTATAGATGTGCAAGAGGTTCAACATCTTTGGAGTCATTCCACCTGCATATTAATAAATTCATACCAGGTAACAATATCTGTGTCAAAAATTAACATGTCCCAAATACTACAGTCTATAACACTGTTTTCATTTATTTTAGGTACTTCAGCAAGTGACATTCATTTTCAAGCTTACTTGTTAGATGGCCTGATGAGGTGGAATTCTGATCGTGCTTCTGCTGCAGTTTCAAGTACTGAATTAGGACCAGAAAGCTACAATGGATTATTAATACATGCTGTGAATGAGCTAAGTGAAGATGTCCTTGGTAAGAAAGTCAAGCCCAATGTTCAGAATATTGGAATCTATACAGGTGAAATGATAGGAGTTGAGTATCTCTTCAATCAGACTGGTGAGATTCTCAAGGACAACACCCTAGTAAATGAAGATATGACACAACAGGAGGAAGAACCTCTCTCAGATGTTAACCCAGACCAAATAGATGAAGGATTTAATGAAGATGAAGATGAGACAATTGCACCTACAGATCAGGTGCTTACTGTGCCTTTGGGTAATGAAAGAGGTAAGTGTGCATTGTCCACAAAATCTGCCTTTCCTGAATTTTTAACTGAAAATGTGAATTTACTTTTAGACTCAGATGCTGCCAGTACTTCTGATGAAGACTCTGCTGAGCTTGCTGGAAGTGATGCAGAGGTAAGTTTATAGTTAATATTTTGTAGTACTTTATATAAGGAATCAGAGAGTAAACTCTGAATTATTACAATTAATTTGTCCATAGGACTCTGCCGGGCCTGACAACATTCAGGGATATGGAGAAGTTCAGGCTTTAGCAGCATATTTGGTTTCTCTGAGAGAAGGAAATATGGCCTTGTCCAATACACAAGCCAAAGAAATCATCAGACTGTGGAAAAGCCTTCATGAATATGACCAACAACCAACAACATTTGCTCCACGACACCGCACTACACTGGTGAAGGGAAAATTTAAAGCTCCAAAGAGAAGAAGTACCAATGTTGTACCAGGGCTGGACAGTACTAGGAGGTGAGCTACTGTACAGCTAATGTTGTAAATATCACACAGGACTCTTTTTTCATGTAATTTGGTTTTTCTTTCTTTAAGATGTTTTCTAGGCTCCAACAGAGCTCCAGCCCAATGGCCAGATTGTAACAGGTACACTGAGGCAATTATATCTCAACTGTGTAATCTACATCCTGGGCCAGAGAAATCAAAGAAAAAAACAACAAACCGTTGGTCTCTTGTGTGTAAAGACTACAGAGGCATACAAGAACGTGTTATGAACAATGGCATGGTGATGAGAGAGACACAGATTCAGCTACCAGATATAAACCAAACAACACTAAGTCAGTGGTATATCAAGCGACAAAAGAAGAAAGAACAAGAAATACTTAAACAGGGACTACCTCAACGAACTGAACCAGCAGCATCAAAGACACCTTTACCAGCAGCCATACCACTGCCTCCGTCTCTGCCACAAGTCAACTATCCTGTGCCCTTTAAATTTGTATTACCAACCAATACCACAGGAACAGCTGTTCTCAGAGGTCAAACTTCAAAAGCTTGCCAACCGATACCAATTCTTCCAGCTCCTGTTCCTCCTGTTACTTTCTTACAGCCACCAACAGTAGTCAGAAGATTTCCCCCTGTTCCAATACAATCCAAAATACAAACACAACACCATCAGCCTCAATCTTGGCAACAAAAGTCTCAATCTCAACCATCAGTACACTCAAAGCAAAAAGATGAAACAAGGACTACTCAGGAACAAAAGGCAAGCACCAGTCGTAAGCGATCCTCCTCGTATAACATGGTTTGCTCCAAGTGTGGAAAGAAGAAAGACCCTGAAAGTCATAAACAATACTTTGGAAACTGGTATTGTAACACAATGACCGAGAGCTTTGAGACATGGAGGGAAAACCTTAAAAACAACAAAGGATATAAAAAGAAGAAGACAGATTGACTTATATAATTTTTGTTTATTTATTTTAACTTTTTTTTTTTTTTTTTTTCCGTTCAAGCTTGCTTGAACAACGCCGAGTGCTGGGCGGCGGTCAATTAGCCTGGCTCCCTCAGTGAGCAACTAGCTCCTGAGGATTGGGCAATGGTTCCCTTGGTGGAGGAAATGCCATCATAAATTCAAATCTTCAAACTTTTAATGCTGCCTAGCGCAATTGCTAGAAGGTCCCAAGCCCTTAATAAAGCAGAGGGAAAGTTTGTTGCATTTTTCAATCTTTTTCTTTTGTTTTTTGTTTTTGTTTTATACTTTTAAACAGCGTCCCAAAAACGAATTTTCACTTAATTATGTGCCTTCTTCTTAATTATGTATTCCATATTCTTCTCTTTGCAGACTGCCTGTACTTCTGTGAAGGAATCCCCTTCCGCTGCGGGATCCAAAACAGAGAAGAGTGGGCGCCTTCTTTTGCGCAGGGGCCATGCTAATCTTCTCTGTATCGTTCCAATTTTAGTATATGTGCTGCCGTTAAGCGAGCACGTTTACAAGAGAGCTATCGCCACCTATATATTCGCATTGACCCTTTAGAGCGTTAACTTGTGGTCCGGTTCAAAGTAGCTCAATGAATATTCATGCATCTTTAATTGTACCCTACGCATGCTCTAGGGCCGGTCTTGAACCCTCCACAGAAACGAAATATATATGTCGTTCAACGTCGTAAAGAAATGACCAAAAGATAGTTTAAAAATCATGGCCGAAGTATTGAAAAATTGAAAGGGTTGATATCAATATTTGTTTACAAAGCAGTCCCTGAGTCGAGGGAGACCAAAGAATCTTTTAAGCTTCGATTTTGCGTGGCGTCGTTTGATAGGATTTCCACTTGGGAGACTTGGACGTTCAAAGCCATGACCTCAAAACAAAAATAAGCAACGTTTTGGCCCCAAACATTTTGAAAAATCCGCCATCTGCCGTTATATCTGCAAAAGGACTGAAAACTAATGCTTAGTCTCCCCAAAACCTCAAACCCAACACTCTCGCAACTTCTTATGACTAAAGATGGCGGAGAAGTTGTTTGATTCCACGATGTGAAGGACGAGAATGCAGCCGAACGTCAAGGGAAATCTGCTTTCAGGTTCGAAATCTGTATTTGAGATCTTACTCCCACTTATCTTGGGTTCAGAACAGTTAGAATTCCCACGATTGCCCGTTAAATCGCGCCATTGCGTGACATGGCCTTCTTAAATTTAGTCAGCTTCAACGATCGACGACGTTATAATCTCTGATTTTGCAACACATCCCACCATCTTTAAATACATCCTGTAAAAAGATCGCGGTAAAATTTCCGCACAGCCCCATACTATTTTTAAACAAATATGTTTTCTCAATGGCAATGTATTGTTTTTGTCATTTTTTTCTCTATTCAAGAACTGAATGCATAATGTAGTATGGGGCTGAGCGGAAATTTTACCGATATATATATATTTCTCTCTCATTATAGTCATATCGTTCCACTGAAAATGTGAATGGACATTAAGATGCAAGGGTGTAGCCAGCCCTTCGACTTGTTGTAGGCTTGTTCCCTAACAAAGTTCAATTTTTGTCGCTACATATTTTGTAAAAGTCGTATTATAAAGTGCAAGCGGGCGGAAAGAATATTAAAGGTCCGGGCTTACAGGCTTGGAAGCTGGCTACATCCATCAAGTTGAATGCTTATACATGCTTACATGTTATCAGTGGTTCAATTTTATTCTTGGATTAACCTTTCTTATCATTTTTGCCATTTTTGGTATATTACTGTGGAAAGAAATTGAAGCATTGAGAAATAGATTTTGAACCTTGGATTGGATTGAATCACAACACATGTGCCACTTCCCAAGTGTGGTCCGAGAATTTTCAGTACTTGGGTCTGTTGGCAAAGTGCATGTTATGTATAACAACTGGTAATGAAATATAAATTTCCTTACAAGCAGGCTGCAATTTTAGCAATTACAGTTAAGTAAAAGAACCTGAAAAATTTAGGCTTCAACAGATTTTGAATCTGTGCCTCCCTGATAGTAGTTGGGCACTACTAGAAACTGAGTAACAAAACCACATTTTGGGAGCAAGGCAAATTTTAGAGGGTCAATTTAAATAGAATTTTCTCAGGCATTTCTTTATAGTTCTTAAAGTTGCTGTCCACCTGCTAGGATTTTTCTTTGCTTGATAGTAATATATTTTAGAAGGCCTTCACTTGTGTAATCAGGTCCCACAAGAGTTTTAATTGTTGTTGGTGTCAATATCTTTCATCAATGATGATAATGTTAGCATAATTACCAAGGGAGGTATATCAACTGAGATTCCACTACTGTACAGGTAACTTAACCTCATTTTAATCATGCTATTTGCAAATTTAAACTCTAATCTCAGGTCAGTTTTCCCTTCCCAGTTTCTAGTTAATGTTTTGATCCCAAGAGTATCATTAATTGTAAATATAATAAAAATAATAATTTATAATAAGGGAACCCAACTCGCCAAAGTGGTTTTTCAATGGGGCTCTCAAATTTTGTAGTCTGATTTTCCAGGAAATCCTGCATAAACTGGAAGATGATAATGAATTTTGTTAAGGTTGTCTGACCATCAGTCAACAATAATACGAACTGTCCTTGTGAAGGTAGAGTAGAGAACAGCTTTTTTTATAGAGAATCCCTGACTTTTTGAGAAGTCATTAACATAGTTTTCTTGAAATTTGTAATTATTTATGTTTTTTATTTGAAAAAAAATCCAAGAACAGTTAACATGGAATGAAAATGATTGCTATTATATAATTCAATTCTCGTTTGTGTCAACAAATTTAATGAAGTATTGAATTCACTCTATTTGGTAAAGAATGTCACCTGATTTTGATAGTGCCATAAAGTTACTACTCCTTTTTTTCAAAAGGAAGAAAGGTTCTATTGTTTCTGATGCATGCAAAGGATGCTACAAGAAATGGGCTTTTGCAGAGTAGGTTATTTCTGCAAGATAAAGTGCAAACCTACTAGTAGGGGTTAAGGTGTGTTTCTGCTTTTCAAATAATGGTGCTCTCTTAAAATTGAGTAAAAAATTTCAGGGGAGTACCTGCCTTGGACCCATAGATTGTTGTTGTGCCCATAGTTTGAATTGTCCTTTATTTGTGATCATTTGGGGATTTTCAGAGGTATCATTTCGTGATGATGACTGACTCTCCTACATAACGGCAGGATATGACAAGAAGTAAGGATTTAAATCACTTTTTCAAAGGTTTAGTCACTGCAGGTGATGAAGGTGGTAAGTGGAATGATGGAGCTCACAGAAAACATTTAAATCAGGGGAAAATTCATACTGAATGAAAGCACATGAATAAGATCATGAATACTAATGTTTTGCTGTATTTAATTTTAAGCAAGGATAGATTGACATTACAGGGTGTGAAATTGCACCCAATACAGGCACCAATGTGACTAAATTTTTCACTTTGGCAACCAAAGCCTGAAAATTAGCAGCCAAATTGGCAACTAGAATGTTCCATCATAACTTTACTTAGAGATATAGTGAATTAAAGATAATTGCAAAGATAAATCTGCAGCAAACTTCCTCATTAAGTTTGTTTCCAAAACATAGCACATGCATCTCGATCGATAACTTGACGCTATCTTGGATTTAGAGTGTAGGTGAGCTTGAAAGTTGTATATCCTCCATCCTAGTGTCCACATTGTAGCAGGTTAGAGATCTTTTTCCTAACTTAATTTTGGAGAGTCCATCTAGAGCACTGACAGCATAAAAAAAGGGTTTTTTTTGTCTTTGAAAATGGTGACCAACCCTTTTTTGAATTGGCTACCACTTTGAAGAATTTAGGAGCCAAGTGGCTATCAGAAAAAACAAATTAATTTCATGCCCTGCATCATTCTTCATAATCATCCTGTATTTGATTATTTGTAAGTCTGCTTATGTATGTATGTGATGAATGTGAATTTACAAAAAAGTTCCTTATTCCATGTTACATTTTTTTATTTAGGTAGAATGAAAGACTAAAAGAGAAAATCCTTTCGGTAAGTCTGCCCAAACTGGTAGTTATGGAGTCAAGGAAATCTTTGCCTTCAGCACAGAGCCTGCTTTCAAAGCTGCACTACTCAACAACCAATGAGTACCAATCCAGTCAGAAGCCACACCCTGTAGGTAAACAGAACTAGCAGCAAAAAGCATACAACAACCCCTCCAAAATTAATTTCAATACTCACATCAACCCACTGCAATCAGGTGGATGGTGCAGCCAATTCTACCTCTGACCCTGGAAAGAGTGTTAACACTTCCAAGCCAACCTTAAGTGTCAGCAAAGGCTGCTACCCACTGTTAACAGTTGACAACAGGCAGGCATGATATGTGGGAGAATATTGACATTTTTCATCTGAAAGTGGAGACTAAAGAATTCTCAAGTAAAGAACACTTGAAAAGGAAAATGCCAAAACTATACAATTCTGTATTTATATATTTGTTTGTCAAGCAATAAAAACATGCTAAAGTTATTTAAACAAGAAAAAGAAGTGACTGATGTGGAAAATAAGGACAAATTAAAATAAATCAAGCAGGATTCTCCTTTGAGAATTTTTTTTTGAACAGGTATTTTTCAGGGTTACCTAAACTTAGGAATTCATTTTCATCTTCTGAATTGGATTTTTCCCATTCATGTCCACTGAAGCTTCTCTCCATTTCCTCTTAGTTTCCCAAGGCAGTTTTGACTATTAACCCTTAAAATCCCAAGATCTCATTGGTAATTCTCCTTACTGTCTGCCAAATGATTCTCATTTTGTAAGTTTAGAGAATTTGGTATCGGATCAATTAGCAATCCTATTATTGACATTTTTCTTTATTCTCATCACGTGTCTGCATGATATTGTATAGATATAGTAAGGAGAAATTCTGTCTTGATCACTCACGGGAATTAAAGGGTTTACCCGTGATTTTGTGGTGATACATTGCAAGTTAATCGCAAATCTAATAAGATGAGTTTTTCTACAGCTCTTCCATTGCTGAATTTCCATGATTTCCTATTCTTGACCCATTAAGTTTTATTTTAAAAATGACATTACAACTTAACTATTTTTTTCTGATAATTTTAAAAACGCTTTCTATTGATACATTTTCCTTTCCTCTCTGCAACTGTCCTTTCGAAGCAATGGTTGGATTGATGTCCTTTGGAATTTCCATTACATTGGTGTAAGACACAGCCTTTATTGACTCAGAGAGAATTTCACAGTTTTTCATCACTCATGGCCGTATGGAGTTTTGGTAAGCCAACTCAGATGATACCAGAAAAATTTTTGACTATCTTCACAATCCCCATGTCTCCTTTTAATGCACTGCTGGAGTTATCCTTTGGCTCTCCCAATAAGTGTGAAAATGAAAGGGAAATTTTGAGGAAGAAAGTTGGAAAATGAAGGGAGAGTAAGGTACATCATTGCATATCGAAACTCAAAGAAAATGGAAAAGACTAAAGGAGATTTTAAAATTAGATTAAAACCTTTTCACTCCAAAATTATTTAAGAGACGAGATACCTCAACTATAGACTGAAATAACTCGAGAGAATTTTCTTATGGAATGAACCTTTTATGAGGTGGTCCTTCTCCAAGGTTGATTCTCTCCTGTTGGAAATCGAGTTTATGTTGGCGGTAGCTTCAGGTTCCACTGTCCTTCACTGCCTAAAAGAGATCTCTAGCAGTAAGTTCTAACAAAGTTCCTTGGGCCTCTTCTATTTTTGCCACAAAAAGCTTTTAGATTACCAAGGTCATGCAGTTTGACATGAGCACACGAGGACCTGCACCCGCAAGTCTGAGTACCTGCGTTGCTGGGATGATATGGTCCTACAGTTGTTGTGGCCATGATTTAAGTCTACGTTTCGTCTTTTGTTCCGCAAAGAAAAAAAAAGAGCTTTTGTCCTTGCTAAGAGACAAAAAAACAGCGGAAAGGTAAACACTTTGATTATTGAGCACTGACATAAAAGAAATCCCTCTGCGATAGGGAAAGCTAAGAATGCACCCTTGATTCACCAATGGTACGAAAAATTTCATTTAAAAAGATTTTATTCATTTTTCACAACCACTGGACAGATATATTATTATGCGTCTAAACGGGAGAATTTTTACTTGCATTTGATCTATTTAAGGACGATGAGAATAGTCATCGATATTACAGGTAAACTTTTTCGTCTTCGTTTGCAGTTAAAATGTGCTTGATAAAAATGAAAGTATAGATTTTCTGCTCTTCCCCTGCACATGCATTTGTATTTAATGAAAAATAAAGCTTTGCAACACTGAAAGGTACATGTAACTCCATTGCGATTTTCCTGCACTAATATCGCGTGTGTTCATTGCCGGTAGATTTTCTCGTTATTCTTTTCAGGGACACTCTTTGAGTCAATTTTCGTGTTTTCACAAATAGTATTGTCTGAAGCCGCAGGAGTCTTACTACAACCCGCTGTCGCGGAATACTTGTTTTGAAATTATCTTCTCATTTAAGAGTTAAAAAATATTTGGGGTCTCTCCTCAACTGACAAGTTACGGGCATTTGAAATAACAAACAAATACGTAAAAACCATTCAAACAAGCATCATTGAAGAGCTTCCTGAAAATTGACGAAGAACAGAAAGCGTGGTTGGTACCCTGTGTGACGGAAACGGTTAAACTCACGTATAGTGCGCCTTCGCATGGGTCACTCTAATGCGTATATTCAGTAATGAAATAAAAACTATTGGTCCCTGAATGGTACACACTACACTACTTTCCTTTTTTTTTTTTTTTTTTTAATCTTCTATTGTTCTTTTAAATCTGGTTTTTGTTTGTTTTGCTTTTTTCAGATACAAGTTCCTTACAATCTCACTGGGGGTGCCTCTTTCAACGATAAACCGAAAAACAACGAAAATAAAATTTATACACTCAACCATTATCTTTAAAATGTTTGAACAAAGCGCCTTTCGAATATTAAAATTCCGTAAAGATATAAATTAATTTAAGTATATGGTTTTGGTAAGTCTTCAATATGTTTCAAGAGGACAGATGTGATAAAACTCAATTATTAAGTGCGAAATGTTTACCATTCTCTGATTTCTTCGTTTGAGTGACGCGATAAAAAACATAAGATTTTTCGCAAGTATTCATTTTTATTTAAGTGTTGGAGGTTTTAGTTTTGGTTATGTACATGTATTCGGCTCTCGGATATTTATTGGTGTTCACACTACCCTTAATTACATAATCGCTGAAGACGTTTTTCAGTTGTGCTGCGTGGGTGGGAGAGTATAGCAGGTAATTTGGCGTTAACAACGGAGTTGAAAACGTAAATTAGCCACCGTAAAGGGTAAAAAAGCTGAAGTTTCGAGCGTTAGCCCTTCGTCAGAGCGATTGCGAAGGGCTAACGCTCAAAACGTCAGCTTTTTATCCTTTACAGTGGCTAATTTACGTTTTCAACTAAGTTGTTAACACTAAATTACCTGCTATACTCTCCCACCCACGCAGCACAACAGTTTCTTTAGAAACTTACCCCTTTATTCTAAAGCTCTGATATCTTTGTTCTTGCCAAGGGCAAGACAGTAACATAAAGGATAGAACCATTTTTAAAATACGCAAACAACAGGTTTTTTAGGGCGGTTCTCGTGGAATATGGTTGTCCTATTATGAGTTTTACCTTCTGTTTTTTTGAGTGAAATAGCTTCTTTATCTTGTAGCGTACACTTAATTCTTCCCACATTTGCGAGTTTTTTTACGCTAGGCTGTATGTGTGGACTTAACTTACAGATAGTAGTGATGGCTGCCCTAAATTTTTACTGGAAAGGTACCCGCATGGATATCATTAACACGAATTCAAACTGAAGGTTAAAAAAAATTAACTGTTTGTATCAGCCTAACTCGGTGAACTGCCTTCTTCTCTCGAAATTCAGTAACTACATTCCTTTTTCTTGCTGCGATGAGAAGAAACGTTTTTTCTCTTTTTTACCTGAGCTGTTTTTTTTTATCCAGTTCAAAACATTTTAAATCAGCTGTATAATTCAGGCCCACTTTCTAAATAATCTCGTATAGAGATAACTAAAAGATTTTTTCCACATGGGGTGTTTCTCAGCGTGCCTCTCTAGTCGCTGTCACGAAACGTAGTCCCGCGAGATCCTATGCTTTTTAGATGTTTTAGGACCAACGTTAAACTCAGTGCTACTTATACAGTATAGGTTTACGCCAAGAAGGCTTTGCACAATATCTGCATACTTATACATTAATTTTTGGAAATTTTTTTCTACCAGTGTTACTTTTTAAAGACCTCTTAAAGCAGTTTTTAGTTATGAAGAATGTGTGCGAGAGAAATTGGCAGTGTTTTTCACCATTATTCTATGAAAAACCACCGGAGTGCTGGACCTAACAACGCTAACTACATAGTGATCATGTTTAAATATGTGTTAATCATTTGGTGATGAAACAGTGTTCGTTTTTCCTAAAGGAAAGAACTATCGGATCTTTGGACTATTAATCTTTATGGACAGTTTAAGCTTAAGGGTTACGCCTCTAACTTATATACTTGCTCTAATGGCATTTTGAGGTTTTATTTAGGCAAAGATCTTTGTAGGGGAGGAATAGATGGCTAATTTAATAACCCTAATGTGGTCTATTTTCTGTTGCTATCGAGGAAGAGAGTCACACCAGATACCGAGGTAACTGTTGCTACTGATCGCTTTCCTCAAACAAGGGCACTGCCAGCTGTAGCTCATGTACTTGTAAAGGTGTTTAATTGAGTTTATCACGATCGTGTTCTGATTTTTAAGATAAGGCCATGAAAGTTCTTTATTTCTAATCAGAGAAAGAAAAACAGTCGCAGCTATCATCAGAGATAGTTTTACATCTGCAGAAGAGATTGCAATCTCGTCAGAATCAGTAGCTATTTCTTGAGATAACTATCTGTGTATGGCAATGTAAACGTCCGTACAACTTTCAGCCCAAACGTACCTTTGGAGAAAAAGTTGAATTTCGGATGTTTTCTGTGTACGTACTTCTTTTTTATCACAACACATTGTAAAGATATGAGAAAAAGTAATCTTAAGTTTACACATGATCATGGTATACAATGCATGAGGTGCGATGCAACATTTGCAAATTAGCTGGGCTCTTGAAGGACGGCTTGATATTGAACTAAAGGCTCTTAAATTTCCGTCATTTGAACAGATATCGCAAAGTGCTGGTTTATATCAATTTTTGTCTCAAGTATTTAAGTTGAAATAGGACTGATTTCGAACACACACCTTTCAAGAGAGCTCTGTGAAGGACCTCGATACATCCTATAGTTTCCCATCTACTTGCTACTTTAAGCTTTTGATGAGCATATACTGGTTTTGCTCGACTAAACCTCTTTCAGAGGGCTGCTTTTGGCTATTTTTAGAGTTGTTAACGTGCCAAAAGAGCGAATGATAATAAAAGCACTCTTAATGTCCTCCAAACCAAGGGAGGTACAGTCTTTAAATTTTAACAAAAAGAGCTTTATCTAAAGGGGCCAAAATAGAATAGAAAGATTAAAGTGTAATCATTTATACTTCGGTTTTAATTGTACCACTGTCATCGTCCATTGCCTCAAGCAGAGTATAGCGCAAATCACAACGGCGTGAAGTGCTACATTGGAAGCATGTTGCGCCAAGTTATAAACTCAAGTTTATTAAAAAAAACCTGAAGAATAGAGGGATTAAATAAGCCATGTTTTATGCTATTGAATTTATTTTCACGACACGCTATCCAGGCATGTATTCAGTCGTACCTGACAAGTCTTACAAGCGTAACGAGGATTTGAGTGAAAAAAACAAGCGTTTCTTGTTGCGAAGGACAGAGAGGGAGATAGTAAATATAGAAGACTTATATGAGTCACTGCCAAGTTTTCGGGAAAAAAGTGAAAGAAGGTATGGGTAGCTTCATTGGACTAAATTGGATTACTACTGGATAAGACAAAAGCTTTGAGATTTAACATGTAATTAAACTTCGTGTGTCCGTCAGTTGAAACGTGGAGTGTCTAGTACATGTGTTGTTCGTCAGGTGATCAATTCAGAACTAATTTTCAACGCACTGAGAAGGTAAGAGGCAAATTGCTTGCGAGTTTAGTTTACAAGGAAACCACCAATAGATAGCATTTTTTAAAATAGTTTTACTCTAAGAAAATATTTAGAACATTCAAAGATTTTGTCCGGGCATAAATACCAGTTGCTCACTACAGCTGCAGTTGGGGTGAAATCTTTTGAAATAATATTCGATTTAATACGCGTCAAACTTAATTGTAAGGTTTGGAAGCATCCTCTCGAAGTAGTTATTTCAGGCATTGGTAATGCAATAAAACTTAAGGCTGAACTCAAAATGAAAGTAAAGTAACTACAATACCTAACAAGTGTAAAACTTTGTCTTACTTCAGACACCATGCATTCAAACGATTAATCCATAATTACTTCACTAAAGTTTCCGTAACAATGCACCTTCATGTACTTGTATGAAATATTTATTTTCGCTCATTAACTTTCTCTCAAGGCTTTTCATCCATCGTTAGCTGTATGACTTATTTATTTCAGAGGTGGACTAATTTATAAAAGGCGTCAAATTTACGAGTATCTACAGTAAACTCTTAGCCTCAGTGAAGAAGGTAAGCACTTTAGAAAGAACCTCAAAGATATTGACTCAACGCTAATGTAGCTTTAGACAAGCAATTAATCATAAAACTACCGCATTAGCGCTTCTTCGTGAATTTCACTTTACCATGTAAAGGAAAAGTACTTAAGTGCTTAATAGGTTCCAAACGATCGAAGCGTAAAGCCAGCATCCATCGGTGAGCAGTATTTGTCCTTCAGTGTATTTGACCTTCACACTCAAGTACATTTGATGAGCTGTAGCAATGAATAATAATAAAAAATAATTACCGTAGGTTATCTCAGTTACGTTTCAGTTACTACAGTTCTCAGACTTTCAACTTTCTTTCTTTCAGAGATTTGTGTCAGGTAAGAAATATCGAACATCGTTTTCCGTTATGTAATTGCAGTCTCTGACATGGCTTTCACATTTCATGTAAGACTGAAGATTTCAGGAGCAATCAACTGTGTGATTCAAATAGAGTTGTAGCATAAATTCACCGAATGATCTGTGTACAGTTGAGTTTGTTCTAGTAGCGTTAATGTTGATAAAGATTCGTAGAAGGTGTCCTTCTTAGCTGATCTCTTCCGAAGCGGCCTTTGAGCCGGAAGAGAAGAAAGAATAACTAAATCTTGAAGAGATTTCAGTTGTTTTCATTGTTCAGGTTTTGAACCTCTTAAACAAACAAGAGTTTATATTCTGAGAAAATATTCAAGTTATGAATATTGGGTCATTATACGCCTCATTTAATAAAATCTGTATTTTGTTCACCTAGCCTCAGAGTTATGCATCTCTACCTCCATGTTGCCGGTCCGGATAATAGGGACAGACAGCAACTTTGATTTCCACATTTCGAACGAGGACAATTCTCCTCAGGTTATGTCCACGATTCACAAAAAATTTCTGGTTCTATAGGAATAGGCAAATCCGTTCCTCTTGAAAGGTTGTTAAATTACAGAGACCTACATAGTTAGACTGTGCTTCTACTCGCGTGAGAGCCTTTGACAAGATCCGGCCTTGAATTACAAAAAAATGTTTATTACGCAAAGGTCGTTTATCGTTCTAGTTCCCCTACTTTTTATCTGATATCTCATACATCTGCCAAAGAGATCATGCAGTTCTTTACATGGAAATCTGTCTATTCACATCTTCAAATTCAATTAAAGCGCGCAGTAATGCTCGCTGGCTTTTATTTACGGAGGTATACCGTCCACAAATTCATTCAAATAGTAATTGTATCCTAAGAAACATTCGTTCTAAACATCTGTCGTGGTTGACTACTTTTCTTACGAGACCTATTTTGGGGTAAGTAGTCTCGGATTTGGTGTCTTTCGTCCATGAAATGATTTGAGAGAAA